AAACAAACGAGAATACGCTATCCGTAATAATAATTATAATTATTATTATATTAATAATAAATGTCCAAAGTCCTGCCTTGCGTGTTTTTCTTGCCTAAACGTAACGATTTTGATCGTGCATGACGCGGTGTGTGAACCGCGCGAAGTGTTTCCGATTTTTCAAGAAATAACAACGACGAATAACACAACATCCTCTTTTGTCGTTTGTTTATTGCGCGCGCAAACACCGGCGTGTAACGTTCGTTCGTTCGATAAATATGATTCCGTTTCTTTTGCAGTTTACCACAGTGCATTAAAGTTGCCATCTCGTTAAGTATATTGTTCACGTATGCACTGCAATTTTACGTTCCTGTCGCGATCATGTGGCCAGGATTCGTGAACCAATTCGGCCCGTTCAGGTGGCCAGTTCTAGCGGAGACTATTTTCCGGTCTTCGTTATGTTTGCTCACGTGTGAGTATTAAATCAGTCTATTTCCACGATGTTCAAGTACCGTAAGCTAATAAATAGCCTATTGAATGACACAAATAATCTTTTGAATACTTTATCAATAATTTTGATCTGTTCAGAATTATCTTTATTTGTTTAGAATTATTTTCATTTGTTCAGAATTAATTTTATTTAGGTAGAATCATTTTTATTTGTTCAGAAATATTTTTATCCGTTCAAAATTATTTTACAATAGGTTATGTCAAGGTTAGGTTGTTTTTTGCTCGATAACTGACGGGAACAATTCTGTTACAGTTGTGCTAGCAGAAGCGATACCTCAACTGGGCCTGTTCATATCGTTGGTGGGCGCAGTGAGCAGCACCGCGTTAGCTCTGATCTTTCCGCCGATCATCGAGATGGTGGTCTGCTGGCAGAACGCGTCGCTCGGTTTGTTCACGATGACGAAGGACGTCGTGATAGTACTGATAGGACTGCTTGGTTTCGCCACCGGCACATACGAGAGCATCACCTCTATCATCGTGGCGTTCAGCAAGAGTAATTAAGCTAGCGTTTGTAGAAATATCGAATCGTTAATTTTACTTGTACACACACGCGCACACGACATACAAACACACACACACACACGCGCGCGCGCGCACATGCGCGCACCCGCGCGCACCCACGGAATCAACTTGTTCATGACATTTACGCGAACATAGGCTGCGATTGTTGGTAAAGCAGAGATCTCCTTCCCGGAAGGAGCTTTCGCATAATTGTGTTATTTATTAGTAGACTGCGGATATTTATGCGAAATATAACAAATTGTCTGCCTAAATTGCAAGACATGAGTGTCGAGCACAAGTGTCCTGCTTTCTTTTTTTAATAACTTCAATGAGTTCGAACTGACAGATTTTTTAGTTTCTTTCAATGTATTCACTGTTTTAAATTATTATAATCCTTATAACTGATTTATTATAAAGTATTGCGTTTCAAATTATTACTAATTTTCCTCATAATCGCGTAAAATCCGCCGTCTATTTATTAGTCGCGTATACGCAATTTCTTTCTTTCTGCGACTCGGCACGAATCCGACATGCTTCTCGAACACGTTCTCCCCTTATTCCTCGTCTACGAAATTATCCGAGAAATTCGTTTGTATTTTTATAGAAGTCTTTGCGTATACAGGGTGTCCCAAAAGTCACGCGCGATGGGGAAACGAGGGGTTCCTGAGGTTATTTGGAGTAACTTTTTCCTTGGCGAAAATGCAATCCGCGGCTTCGTTTACGAGTTATCGACGAAAAACAGTGACCAATCGCAGAGCGAGCGCGGTCGACGCTCCGCCCTTTCGGCCAATGTCGCCTCGCGCCGGCCGTCTGCCGCCGCGGCGTGCTCGCCTCTCATTGGCCATCGTTTTTCGCTGATAATTCGCAAACGAAGCCTCGTAGAACATTTTCGCTGAGGAAAAAGTTGCTTCGAATGATCTCAGGAACCTCTCGCTTCAAGGTTGCGAGCGTCTTTCGGGACACCCGGTAGATCCGCGAACAGGGTAACAACAAATTTCTGAAGTACTCCGTTGCCGAGGCTCTCGATCGCCGTGTAACGAAAGTCGTAGTCACTAAAAAAAAGGCAACTATTACGCTATAGAAAGAAAAAAATAACAGATAAAATAGCGACGGAGAGATTCTTCGGAAATTCGTTCACCGCGATCATCGTCAGTCGGTCGCCTGTTCAAGTAAGTTCACGATGTTAGTTGTTTTGTGTCCCCGAAAGCGACATACTAGCCATAAGATTATGCCGTAGATGTACACGTAGAATTGTTTATAGGTCTGAACATGGTCCTATGTGAAAACAAAAGTCGACTGTAATTTAACCGTGATATGTAGCTCTAATGAACCGAAGGAAAAACGTAAAACAAAGAAACAAAAAAGAGAGAGAGAGAGAAAAAAGGAGAAATAAAACGAAGAGAGTAGGACAAGAAAACAATGGAATGGAACCGGGCAATGGATTTTGCAGTCGTTATGAATTTTTTTTTATTATAATGGACGATCGTGTGATATAAAAGACAAAAAGGATAGACTCTTTGTTTTTTACTGAAAACGCGGAATGTAATTTTCTCGATTATCGATTCACGTTGCTGCTGTTGCTGCTGCAGCGAGCACATGATTTCGTCGTGGTCGCCTCAGGGTGTCTGTCGCATCGTTCCCATAAAAATTCTTTCGAATTATGAACGCGAATTATGTCACCAAAATTATTGTCACCGAATTTGTATATTTCTAATTTCGTCGGACGATCCGACCGCGCCCTGACCGACGATTATTTATTGATTAGTATTGATACGCCTTACACGCACACGTTGTTATCGTTACATCGTTTATTATAAGGACTTCCGATTTTATGATACTCTTTGAGAATAATGCTTGCGGCGCGCGCGAGGCGTTCCTTCGCGGCGGATGAACCGTTCCTCCCTTCGACCCTCGGCAAATCAGCGGCGGTCCATGCGGGTCCATTCGGACCCGCTGTAGTCATCCCGTAATTATTTAACTGTAATATTATTCCCGGTCAAATTGTTATCGCGTTCAACGCCCGTGCATTGTTCCCGGTACCTGTTACGTTTATGTATGTTTTTCTTTTAAAAATTAACTCGCATCGTCCTTCGCATTCGACGAACGGCGTATCCTCCGTTTTGGACAGAAAAGGTCGGATTGCTGTATACAGGGTGTCCCAAAAATGTCTCGTAATCCGGAAATGGCGGGTTCCTCGGATCATTTGAAGCAGCTTCTTCCTTTACAAAAATTTTCTCCGAGGCACCGTTAACGAGTTATTAACGAATAACACTGACCAATGAGAAGCGAGCTCGGCCAGCGCGAGCTCGGCCGAGCCAACGAGCGCACGGAGCGGCGACCATTCGGAGAGCGAGCGCGGCCGGCGCTCCGCTCTCGTGGCCAATGCCGCGTCGCGCCGTCCGTCTGGCGCAGCGCAAGCGGTCGCGAGGACAGGGCGTCAGCCATGCTCTCGCCTCTCATTGATCACTGTTTTTCGTTAATAACTCGTTAACGGTGCCTCGGAGAAAATTTTTCTAAAGGAAAAAGTTGCTTCAAATGACCCGAGGAACCCGCCATTTTCAGATCGCGAGACATTTTTGGGACACCCTGTAGATCAAAGAAACTGATCTCGGATGCACGTTCGATCAAGATTGCAGAGTTTCTCTGCGGTCGTCCGAGGCTTCTCGCTCGTATTGTTCCATTCTTCTCGCAGGTTTCCACGATCGTGTGTCGCGTTTTTGTAAAGAAAATGCGATTTTGATTTGCGCGTGAACATGATTTTCTTTTTTCTACCGTAACGAAGCGAAAGAAGATCATTTTCATCGTAGATAGTCGAATCAATCTGCAAACGAGAAAAATATTACCGCAAGTATTTAGGCGATTCCGATACCCGAAACGACTCGATTCTGTTTCGTATGTGCGTGAAATTTGCGATCACAGTAAATTCTCTCGAATTGTCCTTCAGCTTGTAAACAAGAATGGACAGTTTGGGAAGAGGAGATGCGATTAACCCCTTGACGTACCATTTTCTTCGCGGTCACTGCGATTATAAATGTTTCGATTGCGACGATTTCTTAAAGGGGAAAGAAAATTGTTGCTCATTCGTGCCTAAATTTACTTGAATTTATTTATAATATCGATGACAAAAGATTAGAATTTTATTCCAACTTTTAGGAAGGATAGAATAACATTTATATTGAATAAGTTGTTACTATAAATTATCAGAACGAGTTGGACTCGTCGAAGGGATGATAAAGGGTTAATCGAACCTTCCGCCTCGTTTTTATAATTGTTGGCAGCTATGAAAACGAACCGTGTGGCTGGAATAATCGTGTCTCCTCTTGCAAAATTGTCTATTTTTGTTTACAAGCTTAAAGAAAATTAGGGAGAATTTATTATACTTGACCCGGTATCGAGAATCCGTGGCAGCCAATTACTAAATAATTATATTACTAAATAATAATACTAAGTAATAATTCACGACCGGATATCGCGTCGCTGGAATCACTGTAATTCTCTCATTTCTGCTATTTTCTGTCATTTTCGTCGTTTTTTGTCGATTGCAGCTTGCAATTTTCGTCGCGTCACAACCAGATCCGATAATAAAATATTAACTTTCTTTCTAATTCCTTTTTTGGACAACGAAAATTATATTATTAATAATTATAAATTATCAAAAATCTTATTCGACAGTATCTGCGGCAAATCGAGAGACCCGAACGGTGCAGAAGAATCGTTTCTGTTCGCAGACTCTGTAACTTATTCCGCACCGACGATCATTGTAATTTAAATGTAATGTTTAATAAAACGAGAAATCTTTTTATTACAATGCAGAACGAAGATAACGGCAACAGCGCGCCGCGACACGGTGTCGCTCGATGGATGATGATCTTCTCGCGCGATCGTTTTTCTAAGAAGCGTTTATTTAATTAGTAGTTATGTAAACACGCGAGACGAATGGTTCGATCGAAAGTTATTCCTTCGTTACGGCGATAAAGAGATACAGTATTCAATTGTAAACGCGAAAGCGGAGGCTGTAATTACGATGTATTTATTTTATCAGAAACACGGTACGAATTTAAGAACAGTTCAGCGATTAATGGAGGATGCTTCGAATGCGTATGCGAAGGATGTACAGAGTGTTCCATAATTATGTCAACACCTGGAACGGAATGATTCCTGAGGTAATTTCAAGTAATTTTTTCCTCAGCGAAAATGCGATCCGCCGCTCCGTTTACGAGTTATCGAGGAAAAACGGCGGCCAATGAGAGGCGAGCTCGGCTGGCGCAAGGCGGCGCCGGCCGTTTAACGTAGCGGCAGTGGCCGCGAGGGCGGAGTGTCAGCCGTACGCGATCGCTCTTTGGTCACCGTTTTTCGTTAATAACTCGCAAAAGAAGACATTTTCGCTAAGGAAAAAGTTACTTCAAATGATCTCGGGAACTCATTATTTCTCTGAGTCATAATTTTGGGCTACCCTGTACAGTGTACATGTTTCGTCGCGTCTGTGGTAATATTTAAAGCAATTATCGATAAAACGATCGCCGACGGACTGCGGATTTTTTTGTACAAAATTACTCGTTCTCGCCGATCTTTTCCAAGAAAAGAAAACGAAAGGAAGAGGAAAAGAAACATTGAACCGACGACAAAAATCGATTCCTGAATACCGTTACCGTGACAGTAGAATAAAAGATCAATATTTTCTCATTTCCGCTGTTCTCCCCGTGTTCATGATTTATTTTACAAATGTCACGAACGATCGAAGTTATGTGCGGTTTAATCGCGAATCATCAGCGACGCCGAAATTCAGCGCGTCCCGATCGAATGGAATTATTTAACGAGCACAACCGGTACATTGCTAGGAGCACACGGGGCAACAAAAACGACAAAATAATCGCAGCTAGACGACGCGCTCGTTCGCCGCGCGAGGGTTGAAAGGGTGTGGCTCGTCACCGCGAACGGTCGAATTTTATCGCTCGATTTTATCCGATTACAGTAATGTCTCCCTTACTGACGCTCAGATTGCGCACAAAAATGGACAATTTGGGAAGAGGAGGTACGATTATTCGAGCCTTGCCGCTCGTTTTTATAATTGTGGACAATTTATAACTATAAAAATAAACCGCAAGGCTCGAATAATCGTATTTCCTCTTCCCAAATTGTCCATTTTTGTGGTCAATCTGGGCGTCAATTAAAGAGACATTACTGTAAAAATTATGAAATAATTGAATCTCTTCGCGCTTCCCGAATAATATGAATTGACCGACGACGATCTTCGACGCCGGTCTCGGCCAATAGCGATCGAGTGCCGCGGCAGTGGGGCAGCTAAATAAATGTGGGGGTGGGGGGAATGTAAGCGCAAAGGCGCCTTGTTGTCGCGGGAGGACTATACGTTGTTCCGCGTACAGTAATGTCTCCCTTACTGACGCTCAGATTGTCCACTAAATTGGATAATTTGGGAAGAGGAACTACGATTATTCGAGCCTTGCGGCTCGTTTTTATGATTGTCGACAATTTATAACTATAAAAATAAATCGCAAGGCTCGAATAATCGTATCTCTTCTTCCCAAATTGTCCATTTTTGTGGACGATCTGAGCGTCGATTAGGGAGACATTACTGTATCCGTTGTTTCGGGGTATTGTTTGCCTCGGTGATTACGCAGCTCTCGAACCGACGATGGACTCCTAGGACTCTCTCGCGTGAGTGTATACATATTGTACCGATATAGTATTAATCGTTCAAGCGACGCGTCGATGTAAAAGAAAGGAAAACGACAAGAAAAAGGAAAAAAAAGAAAAAAAAGAATAGAAAAGAAAAGAAACGGCGGCGCACAGATTATTGTGGTGCCGTCCTCGGAGTACAAATTCTCTCAGGGATACTTTTTATTTGTACGCACCCCGCTAGACGCTCGAAAACGTTTTCTTCCTTTTTTTTTAGCAGCCCTGTAGTGTGACAGATTTTTTTTCCCCGTTTCTCCTTGATCGATGCGTGAATATATATATATAAAGACAATAAATATATGAGAGAGAGAGAGAGAGAGAGAGAGAGACGAAACGCGTTGTCGGTTGATGTAAAAAAATTTCTGTTCAGTTCTCTGATTCTGATCGGCTTACGACGAATAAACTGTTTCAAACATTCGATATTTCTTTGAACTGTTCGAGAATATTAATTGTAAATATATTATATTAATATATTAATGTGGAAACGTAAAATCGCGAACTTGTCAATTTATTTGTCGATTTATATGTTAAAGATTCATAGTATTGCTATATATACTGTATAGTACTATATACATATTATTATGCATGCTATATATTACTATAAATATTACCATATTAATATATATACTATATAGTATACATATATAGTATATAGTACACATAGTATATATAGTATGTATGATAATATTTGTAGTAATATATATAGTATATATGGTAATATTTATAGTACTGTATACACAATTACTATATGTATATTGATTCTAAATGTGAACGGTTCGTTAAACGTCAACCGCTGTTTTGTTCAACAAGAATATTGAACAAGAAGTTCGATGGAGCTTCAGGATTTGTGCGATTTTATACGCTGAAAATTGATCGCGTACAATTCGTGTAAAATCCTTAACGTTAGAAAAACAACTTTAGCGATCGCTTCATTTTATTGATTAAAGATAGCAGGAATTTTTCAACAAATTCATCTTCACTAAATTTCATATGTATAATACTTCCTTATTATATTATACATATAATATAAGGATACGTTTTTGTTCATTTTTATGCGATACGTTTCAATTAATTTATATGGGATACATTTTTATTCATTTTTATGCGACATAATTCGATTAATTTTTATGGGATACATTTTTATTCATTTTTTTGCGATACATTTTTGTTAATTTTTTTATGTGACACATTTTTATTCATTTTTATGCGATACATTTGAATTGATTTTTATGTGATAAATTTGTGATAATTTTCGTGTAATCGGTACGTTTTTATTCATTTTTTCGTTGAAATTCGAGCACAACGTCGAGCGCAAAATCGAAATACTTCAAATAAACGTTTCTCCATTTAATTGGGATTTGAAAAAAAACAGGTTAAAAATAATATCGTTTGCAATCGAACAGTTTAAATATTGTCGAAGCCGTGGCAAACATTCTGAAGTCATCGGCCAAGCGGCCGACGTGCCGATCGATGTCTCCGCAAGATCGACGCGGTTCAAACGCGTCGCAACAAAGTGGCGAATTATTTCTACCAAAAAATTGCGATCATAATCGCTCGATTTCACGCGAGAAATGGATTGCGCGAGGGCGACGGTGAGAACCGCCGTTTGAAAATGTCGGAACATCGCGCTGATCGCGAAATTATTTTCAGCTCGAAAAGACGAACGTCTTCCAGGTGAACATTATAGTTCCGCTGATAAAGATGGTAGACGCGTACGAACGAACCAAGCACGAATTTAGCCCGGACGAGTTTTGCATCGCGTTGTTCGCTGCGGAGAAGCCGGCCGAAAAGTGTTCGACGAATTTCAATTTAGTTCGAGATTGTTGCAGCCATCCGGAACAGTTTAAGGTTAACGATGCTGTTTAACAGAGAAGCCGTCAAATCGAACAATAATAATTTATGAATACAGTAATTTCTCGCGGAAATGCCAAATTTTTGGTTAACTGTGAATTTTCCTGCGCTAGTGCTACGCCTATGCAATTTATTGCTACGTCTATGATAAGGGTCCGCGCTAATTCCTGGAAGGCGATACGAAATGGCTTCGAATTGCCTTCGAATTGTGGCATGTAACCTCCGAATTGCCTTGGAATTGTGTCACGTGACCTCGAATTGCATTCGAATTGTGTCACGCGGCCTTTAAATCGTGTCACGTGGCTCCGAATTGCCTTCGAATCGCCTCACGTGGCCACGAATTGCCTTCGAATCGCCTCACGTGGCCTCCGAATTACCTCCGAATCGTGGCAAAAGATTAGAAATAAAAATGTCCCGTCTTCGCAGAGTTTGCCGGTTCCGATTCAGGACGTCACCATTGAATTGTTCATGAACATCGCACGTTACGAACACTTTCTGGAAGGTGTGAGCAGACACTTTTTGAAGAAACGTCGTCGGCATTCCGACACGTTGGCCGAAACCATGGGTACGCGATTTTACATGATTTCGAAACATTTTTTTTGAATGTACCCATAAACATTAGTTCAATGAGAATATTCATTCTTTTTTTGTACAATTTTTAATTAATTTTGATTTCATGTTTTTCGTCTTGTATGATTCTTTCGAAGTCTTTATTTTGATTTTATCTCTTTACTTTCGCATAATTTTTTGACTTTTTCATTTTGATTTTATCGTATTACTTTTGCACACTTTTTTAACTCTTTTATTTCGATTTTATTGCTTCGCTTTTTTGCATAACTTTTTTAAACTCTTTTATTTTGATTTTATCGCATTATTCGTACACAATTTCTTAACTCTCTTATTTTTATTTTATCGCATTACTTTTGCCAGTGTTCCTGTACATCCTAGCGTACCAAGTGTGCAATCTGTACTTCGAGGACTCCGTCGAGTGTTTCGATTACTTCAAATTCACAGAAAGGTGTTCTTCATGGTCTCGTATCTCCTTCACTCGGAAACGCCGAGTGTCTTTCACAGAATCGGTTGTTTCGATTTCGACGAAGATTTCGTGGAGCAGAGGCTGATCTTGCCGTTGTTGGAAGCGACGCCGTGCTTGGAGGTTGTGCTTTCCGAATTTTTCGCTTGGTTTCTTATTTCTTTAATTTTTTAATTTTTCAATTTTGTAATTCTTCAATTTCTTAACCTTCTACTTTTTTAATTTTTTAATTTCTTAATTCTTTAACTTCTCAATTCTTTAATTTCTTAATTTGTTAATTTCTTAATTCTTTAACTTCTTAATTCTTTAATTTCTTAATTTGTTAATTTCTTAATTCTTTAATTTCTTTATTCTTTAATTTACTGTTTAATGTTGACATAATTTTTCGAAACGTTGTATTATCGCCATCAAAAGACATCTGCTAAGTTATCTTAAATTTTTCGGCGAACCCTCTGACTAATTATCAATCGTCCTTGGAATTGATCGTTCACAGAAGCTTCATAAGAATCTGAAAGGGGCGATCGAAACCGGAAAACATCGGAAGAAAAGGGTTACGATTCCTGTTTTCATGAATGTCTTGAATCATCCGAAACGAGCCGCGGGGCCGCCTCCTGGCACGCCGGAAGTAAGCCGTTTTCCGATCTTGCGATCCGAGAAATCAAACACAGAAAAATAAACGCATAAATAAATTAACACATAAACTGATGACGGTCTACATTAACCCTTTGCACCCGAAGCTGTTTTAACTGAAAATATAAAATCATTTTTCTAACTTATAATATTTCTACTTTATATGACAAAATGTATATTTTATGCGTATGAAATTGACTCTTGGGACTCGCACAACAGTTACGCTCTTAACAATTTTTTAAATCTAAACTTTGTTAATATCAAAATTATCTTAAACGGTGATATAACAAATTTTAGTAGTGCCTCAGAGCCACCACTCGAGTGCAAAGGGTTAAACTGCAGAATTTAATTTGTAAAACAGAAATTAAATTATATATGTATATATCGAAATAATTAATAATAATAATAAATAATTATATAATAAATATAATAATATATATTATATTAAATTATTATTTATAAATTAAATAATTCTATATATAAATAATTCTTCGACTAACGTACTTCGAATTGTACATCAATGAACATTTACAATGAAAATAAGAGATTGTAGATCATTGTAGTCCGCTGATAATTCTGTTTGTATACATCATGATTAAAAGTTAATGATCCCTCTGATCCCTCTGGATCCGATGACCGAACATACGTACATACATAACGTCGATCGAATATGTTCACTATGCATCGTTTAATTCGGCGGCGAAGGAATGCGTGTTCTTAAATTGACGAAAATTTAAGGTCTCTCTTTTTGAAGATTCCTTGTGTGCCGGATAGGATTTGGCGGTGCAGAGATTCGTGCGGGATGTTCCCAGAACGAATTACGCGAAGCCGTCGACGGAAAAGAGATTGGCGACGTTGCGAGCGGCGAACAAATCGCACGCGATTCGATTGCTGAACGACGCGAACATGAATGCCCCGAAATTATTGCTGCGCGAGAAACGATCGACGGAGACGAAGCTGCAAGAGAAAATGAGACCGGTATCCCTCAGGAAACCAGTTCCGACGTTCAAGGTATGTTCCGAAGTAATTTTCATTTCATTGTTGCGGCTGTACTTCGGTGTTTCAATTATTTCGACGATAATTCAGTGTTTTAATTAGTTCAACAATTATTCAGCGTTTCAATTATTTCGACAATAATTCGGCGTTTCACTTAGTTCAACAATAATTCAGTATTTCAATTATTTCGACAATAATTAAGCGTTCAATTCTTTCGACGATAATTCGCTGTTTTATTTATTTCGACGATAATTCAGTGTTTCAATCATTTCGTCAATAATTCAACGTTCAATTATTCCGACAATAATTCAGTGTTTCAATTATTTCGTCAATAATTCAGTGTTTCAATTATTTCGTCAATAATTCAATCGTTCAATTATTTCGACAATAATTTACTGTTCCAATTATTTCATCAATAATTCAGTGTTTCAATTATTTCGTCTATAATTCAGCGTTTCAATTATTTCGTCAATAATCCAGTGTCTTAATTAATTCAACAATAATTCGGCGTTTCAATTATTTCACCAATAATTTATTTTCTCAATTATTTCTCTCTCTCTCTCTCTCTCTCTCCACGATAATTCGGCGTTTATGTTATTTCGACAATACTTTACTGTCCAAACAAATGTTTACTTAACCGTAATGAACGCGACAAATATCTTTTCATCCGAATTATTAATTATTAATATGTATTAATATTACCATATATTAATATTACCAATTTGACCATATTTGTTTAACAGTCGGTCGAGGTTAAACAAACGACAGCTTCCATACTGAGGGAATGTGCTCGCGTGATCACCGACGAGGAAAAGGAAATAAAAAAGTAATTAATTCAAAAAACCTGTTACGTTTTATAATTTTCCAGTGTGCAAAATCGTGTAAGAAAAGCATAGATCTCAGCTTTTATTCCGTACCGATTTCTATTATACCTTTTTATCGTTGCAAGAATTACGAACATTATATAATTTATGTATGTATATATACTATATAATATTATATAATTTATATATAATATATAATATTATATAAATTATATATAATATATAATATTATATAATTTATATATACTATATAATATTATATTATATATAATAATATAATAATATAATATTAATGAATATTATAAAATTATAACTCTTGAATATTTATCACCGAATATCGTTTAATTTTGTCCATGTATTCCCACTGAATCGCGCAGATTAAAAATGTTGGCGGAAGGAGGATTCGATCCATCTTCGATCGTCCGGCTGGAAGAAGAAGAACGCGAACGAAAGAAACTGATCGAATTGTCGAAAGTGGAAGAGAAACATCTGTTGGCCCTGATAAGCCGCGAGGGCGCATTTATCGCGAAACAATCTTTGTTGAACGGCTGTAAACAGCAAGCGGAATGTGTGCGGAAAGAGGTTGTATGCCTATTTTGCTTGGCCTTTACGTGTAAACGTTGCTAACAAACCGTTGCCGTCACGTTGCTCGCAATGGTCGCATTGTCGAATGGAATTCTCCGTCCGTTGCTTCCGATTTTATAAATATTATAGTATTATAGTATATAATTTGAGTATATATTATAGTATTTTT